CTGTTCAGTGAAGAGCTGGAGGTGTTATCTGCCAGCAGAGGGCTTTGTCACTGTGCAGGGCAGTCAGGTGGCTCGAAGACCCCTGCATCTCTGCGTCCTGCCATTACATTCAAGTTCCAACAGTGCCACGGCCAGGGAATGGGTAGCACTGTGGCAACACAGAGCAGAAGTGTGCCAGTGTTCTTCCTACCCAGACACGTCCTCTGTGGACTGAATCCCCAGCTGCCCCTGGGGACCTGTGGATTCAGACACATTTTTAGATGAATCCCCACATCCTCCTGGGAAACTCAAGAATGAGCAACTCAAATCCAGACCTGCCATCTGAAGGCCGGGGATCTGAACACAGCAGCCAGATGGACTTCGTGGGGCAAGGCTGAGGACAGGGCGATGTGGCCTGGACCAAGGTGCAGTAGGACGTGGTGGCGTTGGGTGTCTGAAAAGCAGATTGGACCTTCACCTGCCCATTTATGTCAGCTTTGCCAGCAATAAGTAAATTGGCAGACCTTTGTCCTCTCACGGAGGCCAAAATGGGGAAACACACACGCGCGCGCATATACACACAATGCACACGGCTCCTGCTTTCTGAGCTCTTCGCCCACAGAGTCCCTCTTCTCTCCTGGCAGCTGTCGTCTTTGGAGCCTGAAGCTCATGCACACCCTAGCTGTGATAAACACTACAAACACCACGTCACTCAGCCTCTCCTGAGTGCACCCCGCTACACTCGCCTACCCCATCTGACAGTTGGGTGAATTTGATCTGTGAGACAGCAGCAGGCTAGAGCCAGGGAGACATGGAGAGGGAGAGCTTGTCCTGCTCCTTAGCAGGGGAGCCAGGGTCGGGGACGTCTGGGGCCCCTACGGACCGACCTTCATGTCCTTCTCTACCTGCAACTTCCCCACCTTGGGAGCACATTTGAGTCAGCAGACCGAGTCTCACGCAGAGCCAGCATTACCTCTGGATTTCTCACTGACCCAAAGCAATAAATTCTCTCCCTGTCACAGCTGATCGGAGGGGATTTTCTGACACATTCGATGGAAGTAATCCCCGTTACAGATAGTGCTGTCTGCTCTTCCCCCAGGTATCTCTGGCTTTCTCTGGGCCTGACCCTTTGGTACCAGGCAACCTGGAGATTGCTTCTGAGCGATGTGTAGAGCCGTGTGTTGACGGGGCAAGAGTTTGAGGAAGAGGAGTCAAAAAGAGACAGGCGGCTGTCTCCAGAGCCCTGAAGACTGGGAGGGGAGACTGAATCACTCTGAACCTCTACAGAGCATGCTCAGTGGGCCAGGCAGCCCTAAAGGTGGTGCGATGTCCTGGTTCCCCACAGGCACAAAGCTGCTGCTCCCCTGAAGCTCACATCCTAGAGAGGTGCGCAGATGGGGAGACAGAAAATTGGCAAATGAGTGGGTGACAAGAAAAGTACTTGCACAGAATCACAAGCTGGAGTGGTTTCTGCTCTAGTCAAGTACAGAAGGCTACTATGTCTCCCGGTGTCATTACCTAACTTACCCTAAAGCTGACTGTGCTAATACCCAGGGATTTCAGAACTGAGCTATGGAGCTCCAGTTTGGCCTTCAGTCCAAGACAGCAGTGCAGAGCCTCACAAATGGAAGTGATCTTGAAGCCACAGCTGAGAGGAGAGAGACAAACCTGCAGCCTGGCCCCCAGCAAGCAGGCCTCCTGCTAAAGCAAGTGAAAAATCAGTATTCAAATAGGATTTGAACAAGAATCCTGTCCCATGACACATTATTTGTTAAGGTCTGGATACAAGCCAAAGTTACTGAATCTTTTGGAGCTGAACGAGAATCTCAGTATCTCCAAAGGGAAAAGACAAAAAGAAAATCAAGAGGTAGCAGCTCCAAGAGGATACAACAGTTGATATTGAGACACAAAAGCAGCTATTATAGGCAGCTCCAGAAAAGAAAGGGCAAACTCCTGAGCGATGAACAGAGAGACAGACCACCTCGGAGCGGGAGCAGATGAATCACACGCAGAGCCAAGCTGAGATTTTAGAGGCAGGAAATGTGTAACAGCCAAAATGACAGTACAGATCTGGCTCAGCCGCACGGCTCTGCCTGGCAAGCACAGGGTCCTGGTTCGATCCCCGTACCAAACAAATAAAAAAATAACCGAAATGACAAAATCCAGTGGCAAACCCAATACATCAGTAGACTCAATAACAATGTAAATGGCAGATCAATATAAACGGCCCAGTCTGAACAACAGAAAGGAAAGAGATTTAAACAATGAAGAAACGAGCTCAGGACTCTGTGGTACAATACTAAGGAGCTAACGTTCCTGTCAGGAAGGAGGAAAGAGTACAGTTAGAGAACATTTTGGTCAGAAATAAATGGTTAAAACTCCCCATGTTTGGTGAAAGACACAGGTGAAGATTCAAAAAGCTCAGTTACCAAACAAGATAAGGTCAGGAATTGTCATAACCAAACTACTAAAGCTAAAGACAGAGAGAGAACTTTTGGTGTGGTGTGGTGTGTGGTGTGGTGTGTGTGTGTGGTTACTGGAGACTGAACCCAGGGCCTTCACACTGAGCTATAGCCCAGCCTTTTAAAATTTTTTTTTAATCTAAACACAGGGCCTCGAAACACCAGGCATGGTGGCGAATGTCTCTAATCTCAGCACTTGGGAGGCTGACCCAGGAGGATCTCTGGTGAGTTTAAAGCCAGTCTGATCTACAAAGTGAGCTCAAGGCCAGCCTGAAGGTTGCATTTTAAAAAATAAAAAAAATAAATAACTAAACAAATAAAGACAGGGTTTCACTAAGTCACTAAGTTGTCAACACCAGGCTCAGATTTAATGACCTTCCTGCTTTAGCCTTCCTGAGTGTTGGGGTTACAGACATACCCCGCCACGCCCAGCTCTGACTGCAGATTTCTCATCAGAAATCATGAAGTGGAACGATATTTTTAAAGTGCTACAAGAAAAAAAATAAAGCCCAGCCAAAAATTCCATCTTCCATAAAGGTATTGTTTAGGAATAAAGGTGAATGAAAGATGTCCTCAGGTGGAGAAAAACTGAAGGACGTCATTGCCAGCAAAGTGACTCTAACAGCAATCCCATAGGACGCTCCTGGGCAGAGGGAAATACACTGGAAGGAAGCCGGGGGCATTGCTGTGACAGGGGAGTGCTCTGTGGATCACTACACCAGACTTCTCCGTCCGAAGTTCCCTCCAGTACAAGGGTTGAGAGTGAAAACTGTGGCATTTCTGAGGACCTTTTGATTTGTGTACCTCTGACACGATGACAAATGCATTAACAGGCGCTGGCATGGGGTTAAGATCTTTATGCTCAACTCAAAGTGGCAAATACCAACTCTGGGTAGCCTGGAAAGTTCTCAGAACCAGCCTGGCATCTAGCAAGAGCTGCCTGAGGATTGCCAAAGAAACCACCTTAAACGCGGGTTGGCGTTTCTGTCAAAGGCGGGCCTCGGCAGTGCGGTGCATGTGGAGTGACACGCATGTCCCCTGCATGTTGTGAGACTGCACGATTAGCGTGCTATTGTGGCAGAGGCTGAGATTTAGTCTTTGTTTTTCCATAGCCAAACGCTGAATGAAAGAGGATTTGAATGGAACGCTAAAAATGGCCAAAAACCCAAAAGAACTCAGGAAAGGGGGCTGGGGGTTTAGCTCAGTGGCATAAGCGCCTGCCTTGCAAACAGGCAGTCGTGAGTTTGATCCCCGGTACCGATAAAAACGAAAAAGACCAGAAAAAAAAAAAAGAACCCAGGAAAGGCACTATAGACTAAATACAAATGCATAAAAAATAAAATGGTAGATGTACTCAAATAATATCAGTAATACTAAATGTAAGTGGTCTAAAGTCATCGATGAGAGGTAGCAAACTTTAGAACTACAGCAGAGCCATAAAAACTCATAAACACAGCTGGGCAGGGTGCCACACTCCTGTAATTCCAGCACTGGGGAGGCTGAGGTGGGAGGACAGCTGTGAGGTCAAGGCCAGCCTGAACTGCATAGTGGACTCTGTCTCCAAAAAAAAAAAAGTCATAATTTTAAAGGTAAACGAAAAAGATAGTGAAACATTGACACCACCCCCCCAAAATGTGAATTTGGGAGGAGGACCAGGAAAATGAAGGCTAGGGGTTGGAAGCTGGAGACAAGTTGTCTCAGTCTCTGGGACCTGTTTTTGTGGGGAAAGCAGGGCTCACCGTGGGGTCCCAGCGTCGGGTACCAGGGCCCGAGCAGCCATGGCTCTTGGGATCCTTGGGGTAAATTCCCTCATGAAATACGACAGATGACTGGAAGGCAAAATCACTGACTAATCATTGTCACTAGGGAATTAAGGCCAGGAAATGAGACATAAATGCATGTGGGATATTTGAAATGCATTAAGTGATATGTGGGTGTCCAGAATAGCAGCAGCAATAGCACTAGGATATGGACCATCTACTCACCTACCACCCAGGGACACACCAAGGAACGCTGGAGAGTCTGGCCTCTTCTCTCTGCTCTGCAAACCCCATTCAAAAACACACAGTTTGCAGGGAAAAAGGCTGAGAACCAAGAGCTCAAACCCATGATTACTCTGAGATGCGCCATGTGAAACTTGAAAACAGGAGGGTAACACTGTATGAACAAAGGGTCTGACACAGCAGGCAAAGCTGAGCTTGTCAGTGTCCCACCCCCAACTGTGCTGGGGGCGCCTCCCCGCCCTGGTCTAACCAGGCCCAATCTTCAGCAGGACCCCATCTTCTCTTGCCTCATGCCCAGCTACACTTATGTCATCCAGCTTTCTGTCCGGTGATTTCCATAGCGACACTACCTTCAGAGAACCTGCCTGGAGCAGGAAGCAAAACAGCTGTGCCTGAGACAGGGATTTAGCTCAGTGTCATGAGTGCCTGCCTGGCAAGCATGAGGTTATGAGTTCGATGTCTGGTAACACACACACACACACACACACACACACACACACACACTCCAGCCGCACTTAATTTTAACAAAATCTTGGCCTATTCAAAGAACTCTTCATTGGCAGTGAAAAATGATTCAGAACTTTATTGAAAGAAAGCAATAAATAATACTGTGATTAAAATAGTTCAAAAGTATATATATGTATATGACTGTATACTTTGTTACATACTCAGAAAATTCCACAAAAATTAATAGAAAAAGGGCAGTAATATGGATTGTATAAGTGAATTGTATGCATAAACCAAATTATTTTTTTTGCTTTTTTTTTTTTTTTTTGTCTTTTTCGTTTTTATCGGTACCAGGGATCGAACTCACGACGGCCTGCTTGCAAGGCAGGCGCTTATGCCGCTGAGCTAAATCCCCAGCCCCTGCATAAACTAAATTAAAAAGGCATGCTGCCTCTACCCATGTATCAGTTGCACAATAAATAACATGCACCCTGATCTGACTCCTTCCTTGCTGGCTTTTTAATATGCCAGTGAAAAGCAAGTTGCTTTTGCTACTTGTTCAATCCAAAATGGCTATGTCATCAAAATCTAAAAATGTATGACTAGTTGAAACATGTTTATAAACCAATGTAAAAAGGTGACTGACATATGAAAAATAAGGCCTTGATTAGTTAGAGTTGTACAACTTTATTTTCAGGGTTTCCTGCTCTCATCTGCTCATGCACCAATGTCTGTGAGATGTGAGCACAGTGCTCAGTGATTGGTCCTCTAAGAATAGCTGGAGGCACCTTCCACATGCTCACAGGAAAGAGGCAGGGAAGGTGCCAGGCTGGGGTCCACCCCTGGCCACTCCAGCCCTGCTGAGAGCAGCTCCAAGCTCATGGCTTCTGGTCAAGTCTCTGAAGACAAGCTCCCCAAGTCCAGAGACAGGATGGGGAAAAGGGAACCAGTGCTAAGAAAGTTCTATAGTGCTCTGGTGCAACGGTTCAGTCCCGACTTTATTAGACTCTGATTTCTTGCTAAAAAAAGAACAGTTAAGGTCAGTCAACCTCAAAATATGACAACTGCTTGGAATGAAGTCTCCTGATTTTAAAATGACTGATGTAGAGCAAGGTGAAGGATAATGCACATTGCTTATGTCACAACAATTTTATAAATGTAGTAAACTGGGCTGGGGATTTAGCTCAGTGGCATAAGCACCTGCCTTGCAAGCAGGCAGTCCTGAGTTTGATCCCTAGTGCCGATAAAAACAAAAAAGACAAAAAAAGGGGCTGGGGATTTAGCTCAGCGGCATAAGCACCTGCCTTGGAAGCAGGCAGTCGTGAGTTCGATCCCTGGTACCAATAAAAAGGAAAAAGACCAAAAAAAAAAAAAAAAAAGTAACAAAAAAGACAAAAAAAAGTGTAGTAAACTAATTTTTTCAGGGATGGCTTATCATTAAAAAGTTAAATAGTAATAATTACAATATGTGCACAATTTACAAAAGCCATGTATTTGTTCATAGGGTTTATACATACAAGCACTACAGTACATTCATTTGAAAGACTAAAATTAGATATAAGAACATGAATTGCTTCCAGAGATATCTAAACATAGATGAAAAAGTAAGTAACTATATAAATGAAAAGTCCTAAGTTTACAAAAATAGAAGAAACATTAAATTCTAAAATATTTTCTCTATGTTATTGATGAATTTTTTATTAATTAAAAACTCTGTTATAAAATATCCATATAACAAGTATTAACAGATAGCGATTCGACTGAATTAAAAAATGTAGTCTCTGTTGGATTCCAAATGCTGCACATCATCTGTAGAAGTAGTGCAGGAAAACTGGAAGATAAAAACAAACAGAAAGCCTCTCTTAACACAAACCACCTGGAAAAGGACCATGACTTCAGACACACACGCTGGGGCCCACTTCCCCAGGCCTCCTGCCTCCTCCCTGCTGGAGCGTCAGCAGGCAGAACACTGAGGACCCTGCTCATGGACTAGAGAGGTTTTACATTTTGTGACAGTTTTAAAAGTTAAAGTTAAAAGACTATGGAGCCCATCCCAGATTCCAGCTGAGGCACTGAACACAAGCACAGTAGGCAGAGCTCCAGCTGGGGTTCTGATCACGGGTCAATGACACCTCTGCCATCAGTCAGTCAGAGCTCTAGACCATGAGGACACAAGTGGCTCACTGGCGCCCAGGCATGGCAATGCAGCTTTGTGTTTAAAATGTCTGCCATGTATGGTGGCACGTCTGCAATCCCGTATGTCAGAAGGCTGAGGCAGAAAGATTGCAAGTTTGAACAAGGACTAGATGATCTAGGAAGACCCTGTCCCCACTAAAAAGGGGATGGGGTGCTAGGGATATAGCACAGTGGGAACACTCTGGGTTCAATTCCCCATATATGTGTGCGTACATGTGTGTTTGTAACAAAGCCAGTATAGGAGCTGTGTACCACTGTGTATAAACACAGTGGAAGAGATGCTTCCCAATCTCAGGCTCTGGCCTCCTGGTGTGGTCAGCTTTTGGGGTGCTTTTTTCCTCAGTTGCTGCTTTCCTGCCCACCCCCCAACAATGGCATCAGCAGATCATCACTTCAAGTGAGTAGGCATTTTTAGCTTTTAGGAAAAAATGGGGACGAACGTGTTTTTCTTTAAAACTGGAGACACAAGGGACACAGGAGAGGGGAGGTAAAAAGATTTAAGATGTCCTAGTACAGGTACCAACTCTCCATGATGAATTTAAGTACAACTAACTTACTAATAAAAATAAAAGTTAATAGAACAAAAATGACACACAGCCCTCTTTATGGTCAGCTAAAAACCAAAATCGCCTTGATGGGTACAGAGCTACTATTTCTGTCATTTTGAAGTTCCCCATGTAAATTGGCATGGTCTAAACCCACACTGTTAGCCCTGTTACAGCTTCACCCTGCTGTACAGGGATGATCTCCAGGGATTACGCTGCTCTCTACTCACCAACAGGAGGCTTAACGGGAGGAAGTCCTGGTTGTCGCAGAATCCAACTTCTGTGTTTCTGATACACTGCCTGTTCCAACAACCATGAGAGGAAGTGTGCAAAAACAAAGTGCTGTTAGTTTTAACACTTCACACGGGGCACAGGTAAGACACACATCTCCACACCTACAATGGTGTCTACTGAGGAATCCTAAGACTGCCTGGGAGAGTGAGGCAAGAGCATCAGAGGGCTGCCCAGAGTGGTTCTGTCACCACCCAAGGGGACACTGGCACCTAAAATAGCAATAGGGCCCCTTGGAAGTGCAAACCACCTCAGTGTGCACATACAGAGAGGACAACCACCTAACATAGCTACTCTGCAGCTCCTTAAGCCACACTTTGATATAGCAACTGGACTTTTCCTTGTGCCCTACAGCTAGACCTCCAGGAATGAATGGGGTGAATCAGCAGCACGAAGGGGAGGAGGGAACCCCAGCTGCTCTGCAGGCACTGCTCTCAGGGTGGGTTGCAGGCAAAGAGGCACAGCCCAGAGGCCATGGCCAGTGCTTCTCAGAGGACTAAAGCTTGTCTTAGTTTCTACAAAAAAGGATGGAGAACACGGAGGCAGGGGTCCTTGTTTGACAAACACTGGGTGGCTAAACAGGCAGTACAGCCCTGTCACAAACTGGGTAAAGAGCTTGCAACATCTTCGGCAGATATTTACACTCCCAGTTGTACAGTGTTTTGTTTTCCTGCAAGTATACCAGGAATACTTCTTAGCAACATCTTGCCATAGCTCTAGAAAAGACAGATAGCTGGCCGTGTTGGTAAGACTGGGCAGTCATTGTAAACCTTCATTCTAAAGTCTAGGAGACATGCTGTAATTTATCTTATACTCTCCACCTCGCAAGTCATTTGTAACAGTCCACCTTCTTACCAATGTGGCATAGACATCTTCTATGTAATTTACCCTGACAACTTTTTCTATTCAATCCATTTAAATTTAGTGTTACACAGTTTGCCTGCACATGCCTGTAATCCTAGCACTCTGGGAGGTTGAGGCAGGAAAACTCCAAGTTCAAACCAGGCCTGGACAATTTAACAAGACCCTTTCTGGATAATAAAAGAAGGGGTGGTGTGTAGTACAGGTAGAAGGCTCCCTCCCCAGTACCACCCCAAACCCCCAAACAACAACCACAACCACAAAAATGCCACCAAAAAAACAAATCAACAACAAACAAACTCATTAATACTACCCTTTATTTTTGTTTTGTTTTGTTGAAACAAGGTCTCCCTGTGTAGTTCACACTGGCCCTACAATCCCTGTGAATTCGAGGCTGGTACTGAGCTCTCAGCAACCTTCCTGCCTTAGCTTCCCCAGTGCCGGGATTACAGGTGATCTCCACACCCAGCTATGTTAATATTGCTTGCAATGTTCAGAGAGAAAATGTGATTCTTATAGTGAAACAGAAATTGAAGGTACAGGGAAAACAACAGAGTACTCATTTAGACTATTTAGTAAGCCAATGGAAATTAAGCTCAAGGCCCGTCACAGCTTACTTACTTATCTATTTTATTTATGATACAAGGTCTTCCTATGAAGCTCAGTATAGCCTTAACCTGGATTTATGATTCACATACATCTCAGATTCATGATTTTCCTGCCTGAGCCTCCCAAGTACTGGAATTACAGGCATGCACTTCCATGCCTTGCCAACATTTGTAAGACACCTTGAGGGAGAAAGTGTTAATTCTTAAGAACTTACTAGTTAAAAGACACACTGGAAAGTGTTCAGCTTTAAAAAGTTTATATAAATGTATTTTTCTCTGATTTTCATACAGGCAAGAAAGAGAAAAAAGGAAAACTACCTACACAGGGGGCTAACAACAGGAAACTTGTAAAAACCCCACTGGTACAGTTTATACAGCACAACCATGTACATCAGGAATGAGAAGGAATGAAGTCTCCACCTAACACTGAGATTGTCAGCAATGCACGAGGCTCAGGACTCCATCAGCTTCACCCACATGACACATTGAAGCATCAAAATCACATTACTATGATGCCCAAGTTACAGATATGGAAACTGAGGCACAGCACAGCTGCATGACTTGCTCAAGGTCATGTCCCTGCTACCACAAGAGCTGGATGTGGACGTGGGCTCTCTCAGGACCCTATCAGTGCCTTTTACTAGGTGGGCAGGACTGTCAGGGACTCAAGGTCTCCTCTCAGCCAACTGCACTCTTCAGTCAGCAGTTACATAAGGGCCATCCTGACTGCACTGGAAAGGTCAATGCCTTGCCATCTCTCACTGAGAAGGCAGCAGGGCTGCCCTAGCGGTCTCCACAAGGCTTCTGCCTTCTTCCCTGTCCCTCTTCAGGTGGCACAAGGTAAGTATATGGAAAGATAACACTGGAGGGAAGGGAAAAGGAAAGACAGAGTTGGCAGAACCTGGAAGTTGTGAGCTAAAGTTTACTCTGCCATTTCTTCTAGTGTGGAGAGAAGTCCCAAGTGTCACACTGCAATTTTCCTGGCAAGCCAGTGCTGCCTGCCACACACTGCACCCCACAGGTGCATCAGCCTCAGCCCTGAGAGCACAGATGGGTGCTTCACTTTATTAGTTGGGCAAGGATGCTAAGGTTCAACCAGACAGATTTTTTAAAAATTCTATTATTGTTGTTAACCATTTTCCAACAAATGTTAGGGCTAATCCTGAACCATTGACACCTGGGCATGCAACCAAACTCAGATGCTTTGTAACACATACAATGGCCACTCTAGGTAATTATTAGCGCGCACATGCTCCCAGCCAGTGTTGCATTACATGGCCCACCACATACCATCCATCTGGATCTCATTGGGCTGCACAGAGCGGGAAGACTTGGAAGAAGAGACTCGGAAGTTTGCAGGGAGTGTCTCTGATGACCCAGTTGCCACACCGTGAATGGCCTTTTCTCTAACCTTCTCTCTCCATGAAGGTGCTCTCCTAAAGTGTTTGTCATCCTCCTGGCAAATGAAAACACAGAACAGGCACACTCTAATAAAGATAACTGTCCTTCAGAAGGACTCCTAAGCCCCTGACTGTTTTGCTTTACTTAGCCTTTCCTGGTGACCTTCCAATGTGCTGCACACACTGGAACTTCAGTGTGAGAGGAAACATGATTACATTCCTGCTGGGCCCCAACTGGAGAAACGAGGGCAGTCCTGGGCACCAGGGATGTGATTTTCTCACCCATCAGAATATTTTATTTCTTACTGTGGACAAGCTCTTGCCTGCTATATAATGTACTTTTATTTATTTTCAAAATATCCTGGCTACAAATAATCCAACAAATGCTTTGCTTCCAGATTCAGCTTCCATCTTCTTTGTGAAAATCAAGTACTCTTGGAGCTCACTGAAGACAATCGTAATGTATGGCAACAGGTTAGTTATGATTTAGCATGAGGGGAAATTTAATATACTTTTGAAAGAAGCCTTCCAAACAGAAGAACTGGGGCAGGACAGTCAGCTGTCACCAAAACACAACTTAAGACTTTGATCGCAGGCTGCAATCTGTTTGACAATATAGAAATAATTTTTGAAGGTTGCCAAAAATTAAGTAGTGGACCAAGAGCAAGGATCAGTAGTAGAGCACTCAACTGGCATATGTGAAGCCCTGAGGTTGATTCCTAGCAGTGAGAGGAGAAAAAAGCTGAAAACTTACGACATCAAAACGTCTGACAGTCCCAAGGACCAAAAGGTCGGCAAATTCTTTGTCCAAGACATTTCGAGCCTGAAGTAACAAAACAACAACTAAATATATCTGAAGGATGTTACACATTACAATTTTTTAAAACAAAGACTTCAAAGACTCACATGCTTGCAACACAAACTGGAAAGAAAAGATAGTGAAAAATCAAGCACTTGCTTATTTTGAACTACCATATTATAGATTAGTTATGGAAAGTGATTACTAGTTGTCTAGAGTTAAATTTTCTCTCCATTCAAATGAAAAATAAGTATTCTAGAACCACAGAAAAACCGAACACTGTGGCTAAGCAGACAGAGGCACAGACTCCGTTGTCACCTTTCTGTTCTCTGTCGGGATCTGTAACAACAGGGCCAATGTGTTGTAATCGAAGGCTTCATCTAAGGCCAGCTGTGCGCCATGAACCCCACTCTCTATGAGGTTGTTTGCATATTCTTTAAGGCCAATGGATATGACCCAGCGAATCACTCGATCATTGCTCCAAACAAGCACATCTGTGAAAGAACAAAACAACTGTAAATGTGGCTTCAGAAAACCTCTTCATCATACATGTCCTGCAATGCAGGGGAAAGATTCCTAGCATGGATCTTGATCCCTCAGCTCCTGAAAATGGACTCCACACTCACAAATACTGACAGACACACACCTAGACACAGCTGTTTTGGTTCTGCCTCATTCTAATAAAAACTTTCCCTTTAGAAGCCTCCCCTAGTGCACTCAGGTGTCACAGTAAGATTGTGGATAGGATATATTCAGGGAACAATACAACATGATTGGCTGAGGATGTAGCTTGGTGGCAGATCACTTGCCTAGTATGTACAAGGCCTGGGGTTCAATCCTAAGACTGCAAAAACATCAGGCTGAGGGTCAGAGTCAGACCTAGCACGTATAAGCATGTTTCCTACACAGACCCCAGAGTCTCCTGAAATGCTTCTCCATCATGAAAGGGGCAGATACCATGACAGTTCAGATACCTTGCTGAGTTCAACACAAACTCTTTGCTTCTGACCTTCTGACCTTCGTTTTCTTTTACTTTTTCTTGTTGTGGTACTGGGAATCAAACTCAGAGCCTTGTGCTTACCAGGTAGGTGCTAAGCCACTGAGCCATACCCCAGCCCCTGTGCTTCTGAAGCTTTGGTCATATCAACATCTTAATATATTACAAAGAAAGAATTTTAAAGACATTCCAGCATACTAGATTTTGGCAATCGTATATCATACAAAGATAATTATTAAATGTATTCTATTACAGACCAAAAAATTGCCACTCTGTAAAAATATATCTGACCACCAATCTTTTCAAAGACTGCTTTTGCCAACTGACAAAATATGGAGAGGGGATATAGAAAACAAATTAAGTGGATTAATACATTTCATGTCTGATTTTTTTTCTCAACTTTGTTTTGGTACCAGGGATCAAACTCATGACCTTGCACTTGCCAGGCAGCCGCTCTGTTGTTGAGCTATATCCCCGGCCATGACTTTCTTTTCTAAATAGACCTCAACGTATTCTTTGTTTTAAAAGAATTAAAACCCAGGCCTTGCACAGACTAGGCAAGTGTCCTACCACAGGGCTACATCCCTGGCCAATAGATAATCCTTTATTTTATTTAGAAAAAGACATCAGAATGAGGATGAAAATAACAGAACCACGATGCAGCCTGAATGAATCAACTATGGAAGACTTGACACAGTGCTTGATCATTATTCAGTAAGTCTCATTTCTTCTCATCACTGCAGTGCTATTAGTAACTACCGAGAATTCTGAGAGACTCTCGTGAGCATGACATTCAGTGTTGTCTTCAGAGAAGATGCCTGTCCCTGTCATACTGAGGGGGCTGCCATGCCCTCTCCTTCCTCCTGGCCTGTTTCTGACATGTCTTTCCTTTGCCCACAGGACACTCTGTGGTTTCTGTAAGGACTGCAATCCCAGTTAGTATGGGTGCTGTGGCAGGAGGGTCACAGGTGTAATCCCAGACCAGGGTACTTAGTGAAATTCTGTCTCAAAATAAATAAATAAATTACAAAATTATGGGTGCTAGGCTATTGGTTGCCTTGACCTCTCCCTCCCTCTGGGAGCAGAACTGTGTGCCCTGCATGCTGCCACAGGCCTTAGAAAAAGCTCCCAAAGCTGTAGTTTTAACCTCTATCCAGTAAGCAAAAGGCAGTGGCTTGTTTGCCTTGCTCTGATCTAATAGCATAAGGCAGCATCTCTGAGAGAGCATATACAGTGTACAACAACAAAAGGAAAACTACATGAAAGAATGCCAGCACCAAGAGGGTAGCCTACAGACTGAGATAAGCACACACTGTCTCAGGGCACCCCTTTTCATCCCTCCTCTTGTTATCATGCCAAGCCAGTTGTTTCCACTTAAAAGTCTTCCCTGATTTATTTTTTTGTGGTACTAGAGACAGAAGCCAGAGCCCTGAGCATGCTAGGCAAGTCTTTTTTCACTGAACTACATTCTTAGCACCCCTAATTTTCAAATCTAGTTTTAGTGTTCTGAGACAGGGTCTCACTAAATTGCCAGGTCGGCCCTGAATTTGTGATCTTCCTGCCTTAGTATTCTTAGTAGCTGGAACTGTAATTTGTGTAATTCCCAGATAAATGTATGATTATTTTGTGCTTTTTTTTTTTTTCAGTCCTAGCGATCAAACCCAGGGCAATGCAAGTGGTAAGCAAGTGCCTTATCACTAAGCCCTTGATTTCTTTTTGAGGTACTCAGGAATAAACACAGGGATTTGCACTGAGCTGCATCTCTAGCCCTGTTATACTTTTCATTTTGAGAGAAGGTTTCACGGAGTCCAAGCTGCCTGGGCTAGGCTTGTGACTCTGCTGCTATGTCCTCCCAGAGTGCTAGGATTGCAGGTATGTGCCAGCTCAGCTGGCTGCTATACTTTTTCAAACAGGCAATCACCCAGGCTGCCTGGGAGGCAGCAGGCATGTGCTGCATCCATCCGGCATAATGTACTTGCCTTTAACTACATCCTGACTTTCTTCTCTTCTTCTTTCCAGTTCTTTCCGATCATAATTTAACCTTTTCAGGCACATAAGTCCACACTGGAAGCTGTTCCTATTTACAAAATAAGGGGTTATTTAACGGTGGCAATGTGAAGTCTCTTGATCCGTTAGGAAGAACCACTTGCACTGCCTCACCTGTGAAAACTGTCAACCATTTTCAGCCGCCCCCGCAGGTCTTTCTTGGTCAGGTGGTTCAGCATCCGAGCATCCACAAGGCACTCCATGAAATAGCTTCGGTACTGAGGTAGGCCCAGGCTGGGCAGCCACTCATTGCCAATCCACTCGTGGTCCATGTCCCCATATGCAAGTGTCTGATTTCAACAAATGAGTGACATCAGTTCAGATTTTTAATCTAGACAACATTCTTAAAGGCTAAATGAATGACAACATTGCTTTTCATAATTTCTAAATATTTGGTCTCCCATTCCTACCTTTTCAAATTCCTAAAGTTTTATCCAACAGAAATCATATTGGCAAAATTTTATGACTCATTTAGGACAATTTACCAAGCTATAGAAAAATCATACCTGTCTATAAATTCCTTTTCTGAATTAGTTTTCAATATAATAATATAGGAATAAAGAATGATCATGACTCATGAACAAGTTTGAAGAATCAATTCAAATCATTCAAATGAGCTCTAGCTGGTTTTGATTTTATTTTTAATACTTTGTCTTCCTAAATGACAAGTGTATTTGAAAATCAGGAAAAGTAAATTTAAAATGATAAACGAACAACTAATGAGACTAAGAACAAAAACAGAAAAATACAATTAAATTTAGAAGACTTCAACACTCCTCTCTTAACAACTGGTTCAATGTGCCAATCAAAAAACCAAAAAGGACTAAGAAAAGGAAAACAATCAGGAAGGCTACGGACAAAAACAATACTGTCAATCAATCTGACCCAGATATAACTTACACTTTTTCCTTTCTTTTTTTTTTGGGGGGGGGGTACTGGGAATTGAACTCAGGACCTCATGCTTGCAAGGCAGGTGCTGCACCACTGAGCTAAATCCCCAGCCCCTCCCCACAACCTTTAAAGACAGAGATTCCCATTATATTACCAGGATTGAGTGCAGTGGCTATGCACAAGCACTCCCTATGCAAAGAGATATTGATGCCACTCTTAGTATGATGTCCATCTTAGTTTAATGCCCAATTGTCATAGGACATTATAACAGCCAACTTCTGGGCTCAGTCTCTTGAGTTTTGGCAACTACAGGGGTGCATCATCACATCTGGCTTCAGGACGTACTTTTTTGTGGTGTGGTATGGTGGTGCATGCCTGTAAACCCAGCACTCAGGAGGCTGAGACAAAAGTATTTCGAGTTTGGGACTAGTCTGCACTACACCAAAAATAAGGAATCATGGTAAGTAGGTTTACTGACTCAGGAATAGGTTGGTTCACCAACTGAGGAGGAAAAAAAAAATCAATGAAATTTGCCCAATTACGAGATCAGCAAAGAAAGCCATGTCTCATAATACCTTATGTGGCACAAGATCCATCATTCAGTTATGAAACTCAGCATTCTAGGACGAAAGACCCACCGCCTCAATCTATTAAGGGTCATCTACCAAAAGCCTGCAGCTAAAAACCTCACAATGAGGGACCAAATGTCTCCCTGAACGGAAAGAAGCACAAGGGGTGTCCACTGTCACCGTTTATGTTTGGCTGTGCTGGAGACCTGGCCACTGTAATGGCAGGAAAAACATAAAAATGGCATGAGTTGAGAAAGACATAAACCTCTCTTTATTAGTAAATGACACGATTATCATTGTTGAAAAAGTCTATGAAATAGCTATTAGGATTTATACATGAATTTAGCAAAGCTGCTGAATATACAATGAATACACAAAAATTAACATTTCTAAATATACAAAATGAACTGGAAATTGAGATTTTAGAAGTATCTTATATAATGGCACTAAACTGCATAAAATCCTTAGCAACCAATTCAACAGAATATGTCCAAGGTCTGTACAATGAAAAATAGACATGATATACAACCACTTCACAGAGAATGGTTCGTTATGCTCTCCAGCTAAGGAAGATTAAATTACATTCACAGGAATCCTAAGGTACATTGAGGAATCCTTTAAAATAAAAACTATCCATTCCCATCCATCCTCTCCTGGCTTGAACTCAGGGTTTCATACCTGCTAGGCAAGCACTCTAACCTGAGCTACATCCCCAACCCCTTACAACAGGGTCTCACTAGGCCCAGGCTGGTCTCTAAGTTGATATCTTCCAGCCTCAGCCTCCTGAGTTATGGGATTACAGTCATAAACCACCATGCATGGCCTCCATGTTTGGTTTAGAACAATGGATTCCACTCTAGTATTTTATTTGTTCCAGTCAAGATACAAGGGATGGCTCAGCTAAGAGGAATGTTCCAATTCTAACAGAAAAGATTTCATAACTTTCTTTAAATGATGAGTGACAAATATACCACTATGGTAACCATTAAGATACCTAACAATGTTACCATGATGCAGTCCTTTGAGTCATACTTTCATGGGCCTGGGATTCACAGCCTGAATATTTGATGTTTTCTGGCCTGCTGACTATGCTCTCTTCTAATGAGTAGAAGAAATCTTCCAAATAAAAAGCTGTGCGGAAGCAAACCCTCCATATCTCTGTTTACTACTTTTGCAGTTGCTGATAATGCAGATTCTGACAGCTCAGACTCAGTTTGAGGGAGAGCCTCCTCCTCTCCCTGGCTGCCACCACAGCCTTCTGAAGAAGTGTGCAAAGGGACCTCATGCTCCAAGCATGGACAAGTCACGCTCAGTCTCAAGGTCAGTAAAATGCGAGCTCCATGAGAGTGGGACTGCAGCTGTCCTGCTCATTAATGGCTCCTGGCAGCTGGCACAGCCTTCTTACACAGCCAGTCATAACTTACATCTGATATGCGAACAGTTCTGACCACACTTGAGTGTTCCTTCCAAAGCTCAGTCAGGAGCGAGGCCACCCAGTGCCAGCACGGGCAAAGCACAATGCTTTGTGCTAGCATAGCTCTGTCCTAGCAGCTCTGTCTGGGAAAGGATGGTGGCAAAGTGCACCAAGCTTCTGCAGAACATTGCATGTGGGGTAAATCTGGAATCTTCTGCATGGGCCCCTTTTATATGGTCACTGCAAAAAGCAAATGTTAAGCTTATTCAACTACACTTTATGTCTCTGATGCTATTTCATATTGAAGTGGTGACCATATTCTACTTTGTCTTTTGGAATATATTGAAACTTACGTAATTATGAAATGCACTGCTTAATTCACTGATGGTCATTGTTGGTCCTGTAGAGAGACCTCTAACTAGGTGAATTTAAGCGATTCTAGAGGCAGGGAGTATCTAAACCCAGGGAGGGAAACCCAGTTAGTAGCTATTCTCTTTCTTCTTAGTTTTTGTTTCTAAACTTTTTGTAATTTTGAGACAGGATTTTACTATGTAGTTTAGGCTGACCTTGAACTCACTATGTAGCCTATGCTGGTCTCAAATTTGCAACAAACATGCTTGATCAACCTCCCAAGTCCTGGGATGACCCATATGTGTCACCAAGTTCCACCTCTCTTTTTTTCAAATGAACAAACAAAACAAACAACCAAGTGCTATAACTGAATAACCTTTAGAAATGCAAACAGAAGCAACTGTTTCAAGCATCATCTTGGAATCAGCAAATTCTAATCTTAACTCATTTATACTTGCTTTCAGACATATGCTAACTCTTCTGAGCCCCCGAATACCGTGCCCCTGGGAAAAGCTGAAGAACTACAAGTCCCCTGGTACTGCACTGTGCCCACCAAAGACCCAAGAGGGCAGAGGGATGCTGGGAATTTAACCAAGTCATCTGACTCAGACACTGTAAAACATGGGGCAGAGCTTTCTGTGTAGTGAAGAGTTAGGCAGCTGAAATTCAATCTCTGTGAAGTGATAAGCCTTAATTTCTGAGAACCCCATTACTAAGATCTTTAACTCAACACAGTAGGGCAGTACTTAGTCAAATAACAATATAAAGACATAGAGGGAAAGGCCCCGTGCCAACTTTCAGGTTTAGAAGTGTATTTCATGATTTTTTTCAGCAGTACATTTTAGAACAAAACTAACCCAGCAACGAACTACATGTACATAAACTCAGGAGTTGCCTAAACCAGGGGACTTTGTATAAAAGATTCTATTCATAAATAAAACAACCTTCGTTCAAAGTAATTTCCATGATCCCATATGGGAAATGTTCAAAATTATCCATGAGATGTAATCTTTAATCCTGTGATTTACTTGATTACATTCTTCAAGTCATTAATGATACTATGAATAAATTAAGGTGTGAAAAACACCTACTAAAGCAGGTCACACAAGTTTACATCCTCAATTGCTTTTTGTTGCTACAGAGTGAAGAAATATTATAGAAAGACTCCAACCTTATCCAGCTTCCCTCCTCATCTTCCTGATGTTAGGTTGTTAGGAATGTAAAAGAACATAACTATTAGTATTAGTGAACTTTAGTAGTGTAAGCAAATTAATTCTGCAGGGAACATGCACCTTGACTGAGTGAAAAACATTCAAAATATCAATGCCTCATGCAAAAACTCATGAAAATCCAAGAATTTCAATTTTCCATGCAAGGAGCAGACTTTTTCCATGCCAACTAACCTCATACAGTAGACTGTTGGCGTTAGACAACCACAACGCAGTGCTCAATGGAGGTCTCTCCAAAAGGAGAAGCAAATTACATCTTCTCTAAATGGGGCAAATCTATAAACTAAATTCTTGTAAAAATCTAAAAAATGCAAATACGACTATACGCTATGAGCTAATAACCTAAAAAGAACACATTATATTTGAAACAAATGCAAATTAACTTTTGTTTTCAACAAAAGACAAAGGGCCCTTTGGTCTGGAGTAGGAAACCCACTTTGGAACATGAGCTGCAGGGCTGACTGACCATCTGAGATGTGGCTGCGAGTGTTTCCATCTCTTCATGTGTTAACCAGACATTTCCTGTGGTCTAAGGTGACCCCAGTGCACCAGCCACATCCAGGGCAAGGGAAGCGTGACAGAAAGGAGAAGGACGCACATATGAGCCACAGGCACAGTAAGGAGCCACGAGGCAAAGGTCACTCTTTGCACATTTTCATTTCAGGCACCCACAGAGAAAGCCAGAGATCATTAACACAGGCTCATCCTCTTTTAAACAACAACAGTGTGGTCGGAATATAAGGAGAACAGCACACAATTTCCAGATCACATGCTTAAAAGTATGGATGAGAACATACTTTATATTTCTGAAAAGTTACTTTCCCCAGTAACTGATGATTCAATAGACAGTATTTTCAATAGTCTCACCATGTTGGAGGTATAGCTCATGATAGGGCTTTTGCCTGCCTCTCCCAAAGCACTAGGTTTAAGCCTCAGTACAGCAAAACAAAAGAATAAAACAAAACACACAGAAAGCAGTCTCACCCCAACACAGGCTAACAACAGGATGCTCTGGCCTTGGCTTCCTGTGGCTGCTTTCAGCAGATGATCCAAAGCCAGAGGAAGCCCAGGAGGCCAGGGCACAAGATAGTGAGCACAGGAGAGCCAAACAATGCAAACACCAAAAACAAAGCACTTGTCACCATCTGAGTCAAACCTGAGACTGATGGCCACTCTGCTAGCCCACTGTAAGCTCCCCAAGAACAGCAATTTCTGTGTTTGTAACTGGTGATATGGAGAGTCTTTCTGATGTGAGGTCTAGTCCTTGCCAATAGTTCAACTGAATCACAGAAGCTCCCTTTTGAAAGAGGGTTCTTAAAAGCTTTGAAAAAGCCATGCAGCATCTTCATTTCTACAAAGCCCACATTAATGTGGAAATAGCTGCAGAACAGACTGATACTGGTTACAAAACATTCCACCAAGGGAAAGTGTTCTTTGGCCATACGTTAAAAAAAAAAAAGGCTTATTGTTCATTTTCATAATTCTCTAACAACAAAATCTTCACACTTTTTTGTGTATAAAGTTACTGTAGGCAGACCTTGCTCTGCTGCTCAGAAGGATGTCTACACAGCTCTAAGAGTTTGTTGAACATCTAAATGAAAAACCCCTGAACTTTGCAACTTAAGAGCTGGCCTGCTCTTCCCTTCTAATAACCACCAATGTTTCATCAGAAGAGTCACCAGGAAGCTCTTTGAGGGCTCTTCACTACTCCCCAAGTGGACAGCATCTTTGTGAGCACAGGCATGGTTGGACAGACACATGCAGCTCCCAAGACCCAGAGCACCTGCTGGTGCCGTGACACACAACCACAGTGCATCTAGGAAACTCAGCATTTTTCCTCCTTTAGTTCTTGTAGGGAAAAAAAGACATCCACAAAGAAGAGAAGCTTAGAACTGTCCAGGAACCAGTGGATTTCTGGGAGGTGACCACCCCTTGTTAGCGTGTCAACTGTATGTCAGTGGCACCTCTGGACTGCCACAAATTACAGTTACTCTGTAAGTCCCGCCTATATGTGCAGTGATGCAGATGCACTCACACGCACAAGACTGAAGGAAAGAAGCCACACACAACAAAGTAAGGGCAGCCCAACCTAGTTTATAGCCAAGGGGCCGAGGCCAGGTGCTTATTTATGCCCGGGGATTGTATGCAAGGGTTTATACATTCCTGGGCTTATCTGTATATTTTGCTACCTGTATACTTGAAGAAAAACAATATTTTCCGCATATAATTTGCTTAGCAAGTACCTTTATATACCGTACAAGTACTAATTATTGCTTGAACTATGAAATAGAAATCAAAGTTCAAGGATGAAATGCTACTTAAAATGTTAACTTTTCCTTCCTCAAGAGGTCCTTACACTTACTCAGTTTTGATAAATTCATACGTACATTTGTGACACTCAATTTTCTACCTTTCAAAAAGCCTTCTTTCTTAAAGAAGGCCTTTCTAACCAAGTTTTATTCATTTATTTAATTATTTATTTTTTGGTCTTTTCTGAAACGGGATCTCATTACTCAGTTCAAGCTGCTCACACTGTAACCCACTGGCCTAGAACTCACAGTGATCCTCCCACCTCAGCCTTCTGAGTGCTGGAACTACAGGCATGTGCCACCACGCCTGGCTTTAACCACACTTTTACACAAGCAGTTCACACATTTTCTTTGGATCACTCAACCCCTCCAAGTTAGGGGTTGTACTATGCTTTCCTGAAATTTTAAGTTGAAACCACCCTGTATGATTAGGAAGCAGCACGGAAACATTAGCAGGCTACTGCTTTTGTGGGCTCTGCCTTCCTCCTCCACAGAGGGCACACAGAGCCTCTGTGAACATACCTTTTTCAATGTGGGTGGAGCCGAAGGGCTGGTGAGCCACAGGGTTTCCTGGATGGCCAGCCGCAGCTTCAGTCTGTGCAGAGGGTGGCTGATGCCAATCTCTTGCTGGATCTGTCTGTCTGACAGAGCTGACATGATGGCCCCACTTTTCACATTTGCTCTGCAGGCAGCCACATAGCAAGCAGGCATCCCAACCCAGAGCTAGAAAGAAGAATGAAAAGACCAGAACATCAGGTAGAGACAGGAGATGCACGACAAGCTTGTGTCATGTAGCATAGGTCTCTGTAGTAAAGGGATGTACCTCCAGCCATTCAACCACGGTTGGCCCGTCCCACTGTGAAAATGGTAAGCCTTGCCTCTGGGCTTCCTCCAGCAACTCAGGCCTGTGAAAAAGAAGACATTCAAATTAAAGAAGCACTGTTACACATCCAACAAGTTAATGGAACAGTCTCTGAGCATTTTCAAAAGTATAACACATATTCTCAGTTCCTTTTATCTTCTACAGTTTTAATGTTATTAACATCATCCTTGTAATGACAGTCACACACATACTATGGAGAATGCCTGAGTAAATAAAAAATGCTACAGAGTTCTCTTGATTCCCAGTCAAATCACCATCACTTCAGAGAATTGAAGAATTACTACCAACTTATAAAACTCAAGCAGAATTTTCATATCCAAGGTAGTAAGACAATTAGGGGAAAACATGAAACCCTACTTCAACAATGAAGAAACAGTATCTAGGAAGAGGAAACCACACCTCAGTTGAGACATCAGTGCCTAATTTTGTGAGAGACTTTAAAAAACAGTGTTTTTGGGGGGTGGTTGTGGTTTGGGGAATGTTGAGACAAAGTCTTGCTATGTATGTAGTCCAGGTTGGCCTCAAACTCTGTGTAACCAGTCTCCCCCAGTGCTTGGATTATAGATGTGTTTCATACTCCCAGCTGTAATGCAGACTTTTAACCACAAAAAGATTATCGTCTAATACAGCAAACAAGTAACAGAGGACAGTTTCTATTGTACACTGCTCTTTAAGTAAACGGGTACTTGCTAAGTCACTGGGTCATTCTGTGGTTTTAACCCATTGATCTCTTCTTTAGCCAGCCATTCAACACCTCCTTCAATGCCGAATGTATCACCAGCACAGAAACTCATGCAATACCAAGGCAGTACTGCAGGGAAGTGGGTAGGTGAGTCTTGCATGCACTCCGTAATGTGATTTGAGGTTTCATATATGCTTTATTTCTAAAGACTCAAGTCACACTTTTACTATACTAACATCTCTAAAAGTGATTTGTGTAACACAGTTATGTGAAACAGTAACATTGTAAGCATGGTAAGTCTGACATTAGAACACAAAGGACAAGTATGTTTCAGATACACAAAAACCCTAGTCAGTCTCAGTCAATCAGTCTCTCTTCCCCTTTTCTTTCTTTTGGAAACTTATGTTCCTAAGTAAAATGTTTCATATACAATTTCAACTAAGAGTTCCTTAAGTTACCGCTAAGCTTACAGGAACAATCACCAGGGAGTAACTGTACCAGAGAAGGCAGCAAATGTGTTATCTCAGATGAAACAAGAAAAAAACAAAAAGAAGAAGAAGAACAACAACAACAACAACAATTTTCTAGTTGAAACAAGCAAAGCTATTCACAGAGAAACAGATCAGCAGAAGAGTGCTCCTAAGTACAAGAAGTAGTAGGCTACTGTCATGGTTTATGTCTGTGGCCCCCAGGCCTCATGCATTTTCATTGTGCATTTGTGATGGTTCATTGTCTAGTGCTTGGATTCATGGTGTCAGTGTTACACCCACATAAGAGTGGAGCCAGGATATGATGTAATGGTAGGAAGAAAGTGTATCTTGCTCTTTGCCTGTTCCTACTTGCTGTTTGCAGCCACCATGAACTGTGACCCAGCCATGCCCACCTGCCTTGGAGCCAACTGAGTGTGGACTGAAACCTCCCAAAACTGTAAGAAATAACCTTTTCCTTTCCAAACTTGGGCTTCAGGTATTTTGTCTCAGCAATGAGTAAAAAGTAACTAAGACAGAATTTGGTACCGAAGAATGGGGTTGTTTGCTGTGACTATACCTTACCATGTTTTTCAAGAAATGGCTTTGGAAATGGCTTGTGGGCAGAGTTTGGAAAGGTTTGGATGTGTTGCCTGGATGCATAGAGCTAGAGCAGCTTAGGCAGTTCTGTAGAGGAGATAGTGGTCACAGCTCAGGAGACCAGAAGGCTGATAGGAAGCCTGATGGTAAAGACCAGGCCTGGGAGATTTCTGCTGGGAAGAAGGACTGCAGTGATTGTTGGACTCCCCATGATGTGAGTTATGGGTTGGCAGAAAGTTGTCTACATTTTGCTCATGTCCAGAGACTTTGCCTGAGACTGAAACAAAGGGCAATGGACTGATTAATCTTGAAAAAGAAATTAAAAAGCAATCAAATGTTGAGTCTGTGGCATGGCTACTGTAGAGGGCTTTTAGCCAGCTTTATGTTGCAAATCAAGAGGAAAGAGCCCAGCGGGATAATTTGCAATACTGTGAGTTTGGCCAGAAAGAATATTTCAGGAAGGCTGTGGATTGTAAAGACAGTGGAGATTCTGATGGCTGAGGGAAAACAGAGAAATAAGAAAGATGGGCCGGGGGCATCCCAGGAAGCAGGTCCCCACCCTGTGCAGCCTCACTGCAAAGGTAAAAGAATTTTTTCAGAGGAGAAAGCTGCAGAGCACCAGGTTCCAGAATGGCGACAGAGACCACATGAGTTTCCAGAATGGTGACAGGCCACATGAGGTTCCAGAATGGTGGCAACATAGAGAAGCTTTTCCTCACAATCAGTTAAACAGAGCCCTGTGATCCAGGCAACTGACCCCTACAGCCAAGAGAGAGAAAAGCCTGAGTACTGCTCTAGCTAGCAGCAAACCTTGGCAACATCCACATGGTGCTGATCTTAGGTGCTAGGAAAATGCACAAATTCTGAGGGTAAGATGGCTTCTACCTCTATTGCAAAGGGCCTGGGAGGCCAAGCTGTGTGCCCCTGAGAGGGCAATTTGTGAAGACATAAAGGTGAAGCCAAAGGTGCAGTGGAGACCCCAAAAGTTTGGAAAAGCCAGAAACATGGACGATCCAAGGAAAGCTCCAAAAAGCAAGCAGAGAGGATTTAAGAGAAAAGCTGCAGGAGGTGAAATCCCTGGAAGTGCCTTGGGGGTGGAATCACACAAGCCTTTTGGAGCTTGTAACCATATTGCTTCAGATGCAGAGCAAGGAACTCTAGGACTTAATGTTCATCCTGCTGGATGTTGGATTTGCTTTGTTTCCAATGCTTTATATTCCCCTGTTTGTAACTTTTGGAATAGTAATGTTTATTTTGTGCCTTTGCATTTGAGAAATGTTTAAACTTGTTTCATTTGTACAGGGGTTACAGTTAAGAGTTTGCCATAGATCATGGAGGAGACATGGGACTTGGACTGTTCAGCAATGCTGAAACTTAAGACTTTGGAAACTCTTGGTGGTGGACTAAATGTCTTTTGTATAAAGGATGTACAAGAGTCCTGGGGGCCAGGGGAGGAATGTCATGGTTTATGTCTGTGGGCCCCCAGGCTTCATGTATTTGTATTGTGCATTTGTGATGGTTCATTGTTAGTGCTTGGATTGATGGTGTCAGTGCTATACCCACAGAGGGGTGGAGCCAGGATGTAATGTAATGGCAGGGAGAAGGTGTGTCTTGCTCTTTGCCTGTTCCTGCTTGCTGTTTGCAGCCACCATGAACTGTGGCCCAGCCATGCCCTGGAGCCAACTGAGTGTGTGAAACCTCCAAAAACTGTAAGAAATAAACCTTTCCTTTCCCAACTTGGCCTTTAGGTATTTTGTCTCAGCAATGAGTAAAAAGTAACTAAGACAGCTACCAAACCTGGCTACAGAGCTGCTATGACTCATTTAAGGAAACAAGAAACACACACACACACACACACACACACACACACACACACACACAGAGAGAGAGAGAGAGAGAGAAAGAGAGAGTGTGTGACAAACATACAGAGAGACAGACAGACAGACAGACAGACAGACTGACCCCAAGAAGCAGTGTAAATCCATTTCTGGGTAAAGATCTGAAATTCTGTAATATTAAGTGAGGGTCTGTCCTGGATGCTCTGGCCAGGCCAGGGAAGAGGAAGACTACTGCTGTAGGTCAGAAGCACTTCTAGATTATGTGCCTATTCAAATAGACTAAGTAAGAACTATGTCCTCAGTAGTCTAAAAATGATTTTGTTGGTGTTTTCATTATTTTTGATGGTACTGGGGATGGAACCAAGCACTCATTGAACTAAACCGCCAGCCATTTGTACTATACTTTTTATCTTGAGACAGTTTCTTAAGTTGCCTAGAACAATGGCATTGTCATCATAAATGACCCTCCTGCCTGGACCTCCCAGGTAGCTCGGATGATTAAAGGTACATACCACTGCACAGCTGTAATTTGTGAAAGTACATACCAGACATGTACTGCAAACAAGAACAAGGCCCACTACCTGAAGCTTGGTATAAACTGCTGTTGCCTTTACATCCTTCCTCCTCCTTACACCTGCATCCAGATGCAGCAGTGGGAGTGGTGTGAAGGTAGCAGAAGTAGGATGATGCATTCAAAAGTCATGTGACGTTAGGAAATAACACAGAAGACCCTGGCTGGGGAGTTGGCCCAAGTTCCACCTACAGGTAGCTACACCTCCCCTACCAGGTAGTTTGTGGACTACGAGATTGGGCACCTAACCTTGGTTAACACGATAGGTGGGCACATTAGAGTCCAGTTTTCTTGAGAGTTGTTCCCAAAAGTGTACAGAAGGATCCTGTGTTAAGATGCAGAATCTGGAGCCTGCAGACACTTCTGCGCACCTCTACTCTGGCTCTTTGCAATGTTTGGTGATATGCACAACTACCTTCCTTTTACACTGGGTATTGAAACTGGATCTCTTTTGCTTGCTACTGCACATACTTAGTACAGACACCCATTTGTCCAAATCTGTGACCTCCAAGAACTAAATGGCTTCACAGTGTTTACTCACCTACCTGACTATCCACTTAGGTAAGGTTATCCGTCTACCCATATGATTAGTTTGGAATAGGA